ACAAGCGCTCCCTGTTGCCACTGGTGTTGGGAAGCTGGGAATTTGGTTAAATAATCAACCGCCCTGGCCGAGGCACTCCAGCGTTGCTGTGGTTACTGGTGTCCCAGCAACGGGTTGAATGAATGCCACATTTGCCTGGAAAACAGCCCTCGAGAGTATAACAGAAGGGTGCCCGCGTTCGTGCGGATTCGCACAGCCGCAGGGCGAAATTCTTTGCCGACAAATATTTGTAAAATATTTCCCCCCCCACCTTTGCATATTCGCAGGTGGGACTTTTATCCCACCATCGCCCTGCACCACAAAAGGATGTGCCATACTCTGTTGAGTTTTCTTTCTGATTCCCCCCCCAACACACACACACACTCACTTCCAACTCCAAAAATTTGCAACGAAAAACACGATGAGAGAGGGGGTTCCCGGAAAGGGCCTTTCTTCGCCCTTAGAGCGCTAAACGCTGAGCCATCTAATCCCAACTCTCAAAACAACATTACGAGACTTTTAATCCCCTTCCCGGCTCCGTGGGAATAATTTTCGCCCGACACACACAAAAAAAAAATGTGCCGTTCGAATCCCGAATGCGCAAAAGTGCATTTTGGCTCCGTGGGAATAATTTTCGCCCGGCACACAAAAAAAATGTGCCGTTCGAATCCCGAATGCGCAAAAGTGCATTTAATGGTCCCACCCCTGTTTCAGGACTACTGAGAACGTTGGGTTAAATCAAGGAGGCCACTAGCGCTGTTCGCCCCGCACTTGTGCTTTTAAGAAGGTGGGTTCGATAAGGGTTGCCACTTTTTAACAACAACCCCGCTCCTGGACTGTTGGGATGATGAATGAGAATAGGGTTGCCCCATGATAGGACAGGCCCTTCTCCTGAGCCATCAACAGCCCAGAAAGGATGAAATAAGAGTTCTGGTTGCCCCCCATGGTATAACCCCAAAAGTTCCACTTATCTTCTAAAGGCGCAGGTGCGGGGCAGGTTGGAAAAGTTGGCAACCCCGGAAGCCCCTTCTGTTGCTGGAAGGGACATCAGGTCAAAAGGGCAGCCTGAGATTCCCAGCCCCTTCCCAGCTTTGGAGAGAGAGGGATAGATCGTGTCCTAATTGGCTTTTCTCCCAATTACTCACCTTTTAAAGAGGGGTGTCTTGGGGGGGTACCTAGTGAGGCCAGAGTGGGTACAGCAAAGTGGCTCCTGTTTCTTTTTTTCAGCCGGCCTCAATTCTCCAAAGTTTGGACCTTCCTCTGCTTTTGGTCCCGGCTTGTTGTCGGTTCGAGGACAACTTTTGTTCTGAAGGAGGGGCCCCCCTCCGCAACTCCGACTCTCCGGCCGCACAATAGCGCTGCCTGGGGATGGGAGCGCCCGGCAACAATGGGGACGTTTTGAGCTTCGGAGTGCATTCAAGCAGCAAAGGCGGCCCTCTTAAAACGGCAACGCTCGGGCCCTCCCGCGCCGAGGGGGGCACACAAACACCACTGGGCGGAGGGGAGAGAAAAGCTGGTCAAATCTCATCTCCATGTCAGATGCAAATCGTGAGGAATCAAGGGTGCCTCTGAGCACATGCAGAGTGATCCCCAACTTGGTCACAACTGGCTACAAGCATCGAGCTGCTTATAAAATAACCCCTTTTTTGCATTGTTTAAAACATAACTAAATTACATTGCACAGGGGCACCTAAATTAATTAATTACATTCCCAGTTACAAGGGGAGAACGGCCTCACTGCCTTCAGTGTTTTATATCACAACCACACACACCTTGTAGCATTCTGTTTGTTTAAAGTTACCCAAAGTCAAATTCCAGCCACTTTTGAATAACAAGAAAGTTACTTTTGAAACAGAGTAACCGCAGCGACAACTAATTACTGTATCTTTTGGAGAACTTGAAGTCTAAATAAGAACTTCTTTTTTAAAAAAGTAACTTTCCACCCTTTTCTTCCTTTTGTTGTTGAACAAATATGGTGCACTATAAGGGTAAGAGGGTAACAATTAGAAGAGTAACAGTTGCTTGGCCTTTACAAAAATGACTATCTAATTACTTTTTAGATCATGAGTTTCTGGAGCTCAGCTTCTAAGTAACAGCAGCAGATCTGGTTCAATACTTCCATTTGTTACTTTTGCTACTGTGTGTTATGCTAACATTTTACGGTGGCCCCAGACAACACCCTTCAGTTCGGAGTTTATGGGTTTAATTAAAAAGGTGCTGAGAAGAAACAGCCACTAGGGAGCGCTGTGGGACCAGCAACCGTGATGCTTCGTACCTCGTTACCTGGTTCTGAGTTAATTCTCGGAAGCCATGGTCAGAAAGATGGAAAGCTTGTGGGGTTTTTTTGATAGGAAGAACCCAGGGTTCAGTGTGAGTCTGTTTAATTCCTAAAAGGAGATGTTCAGAGGTCCAACCAGGCCTGGAATTCATATTCCCTAATTATCGCATCTTAAACTTGGCACAAAAGAGAAATGCGCTCTGTACATGCCCCGGGGCACTCTTGTCATGTCACAAGGCTAAACAGGGCCTGCATCCCGGAATTCCCTCTTCCAGCAGGGATAGTGGCTATCATCCCAAAGAGGAGGAAATTTTCTGACAGCTTACATTACAGTAATTTCACTCATCAGAGTATAGTCAGTTACAAACCCATAGCCACACACGAATGCGTAGGTCTGTGTGTTTTGCCAAAATGAACCATGTTTTGGTTTCTGAACAGGGAGAAACCGTAGGCCTAGTGGCTGGAATCTGGGGGATCGGATCCCAGAGAGGAGACAAGAAATACACACGAGGAGACCTACTAGCTCCGATCAAAGTCCAGCAAGCAGCAAATACTGTTTCCAGCAGGCTCAGCTGATAAATTAAAATTGCACTAAACTGATTTTCTGGAGAAAGATA